ACTTGCCCAAAGTGCCCACTGGGAAAGACGGGTCTGATGGCAAGTATTGGAAATTCATACAAGTGCTTAGTTTTAACTTGAAAACTTAGCGTTAGCAGGTACAGTTGTGTCTGTCTACTGAAGAATAACTCCCAATTCTTATACGGTGGGGATATTGAAAAACACCTACCTCTTATTAATAAACAAAGAATAAGCTTGGATTGAGGAGTCATGGCCCAATCTCCCTATTCAATTCATAGGGAAGGCCTGTGCCCCAGCAGTGGGGACATTAATAGGCTGATGATGATGATGATGATGATTTTTTTTCTTTGATTTTGAAGAAACAGCCACATAATTGTATTTGTGCATATATTGTAGGGTATTTATATAAATTGAATAGTTAATACGTACTAAAAGTTTATAAATCCCTAATTTTTTTTCTGAAAGGTTTATTGAATGTTATAAGCATAAGAGTAGAACCATACAAAATTTTAATGAAAAGTTAATTATTGTGAAATTGTATAAAAAAATTGCTCTCCTGTAAAATTAAATATGATGTTATGCCGAGGAGCTCGATGGTGGTGGTTAGCGCGTTCGACCTGCAATCGTGAAAGTTAAGCAACTTTCGCAATAGTCGGTCATTGGATGGGTGACCAAAAACTAATTATCTTCAGCTCCTCCGTTTCGAAAGGCACGTTGAGCGGTTGATCCCGGCTGCATCTATAGTCGTCAGTACCCATCACGTGACCCACCACCCTCCCTTCCATCCATAGGAAGAGCTTGGCTAAAGTAGGGACATTAATAGGCTGTGATGGTGGATGTTATGCTAACGCATGATCGAAATATAAATCCTGAAGGCATCACATATTTTTTTAGTATTCTTGTAACAAAAAGGAAATTCTCATGCAAGTCCACAATATGGTAGTACTTAACTGTTATTTAGTACTTTTCCTGTTACAATCAAACAAAGGTTATTATTGTCTAGACTACAGCCTCTGTCTATTGTTAATGTATGGCGCAGCGAATTTTCCTCTTAGGAATGAAGCGCCTGAGGTGCTGTCCCCTCTAAGGTGGAAAAGAATCATCTCATTTTAATTTCTCTTGAATATTATTTGGGACAAACAAGTGCTCCTGATTTTCGGTTGTCGTACAATAATTAATCATTCTCATAATATCTGTCCCTCAACTGCGCAGTTGAGGGACCGCGGACTTTTTGTCCGCTGAAATAGATCGCTTACATCTGCATCCAGTAACGCACACGACGGATTAAAAGTACCGTGTACAGAAAGTCCCCCGAACGTCCGATGACACCGAGAGACCGGATTGGACAAAATTAGGGGGGTGTCCCTGCTTCGTCACATGTGTGCAAAAATAGAACACATGTGACGCAGCAACGCACACAGCGAAGCCAATAGGGATGATGACTTATATTTTTTTCTTCGTTTATCAGGTAGATTATCAAAAAGTATTGGACACGTATTTTTTCTTTTTTCACAAAATATAAACATTGCAGAGATATATTGATTTGAAAAGTCGCATGACGTCTACACTTATAAGGGAAAATTCACTCAAAAGTGACGTCACGAGCCCCTACTCCCAAACTTTGACGCGCTATAACTTTGTCATTTTTTGGTTGATTGCCCAAAGAAAAAATACGTGTCCATTATTTTTTGATCATCTAACTGACGGACTAAATAGAATTTCGTTTACTGTACCCCGTCATCACCCCTATTAGCTCTTCTTAAAAGTTCCTCAAAAACAAACAAAATACTGAATAATTTATGTCATTTTACTGCTCTATAGTAGAACTTATCGAAGAGCTGGACATCGTGTTTCATATAATTTGTTATTTGATGGGTATTATAGTCATTTTTATAACAGTAATAATGTACCTATCTAATACTAAATATAATGTTTACTATAAAGTTTATTGTAACTATATATTTATATTCTAAATGATGTAATGGAAGGTGACTTCAGACGTATCTCTGAAGTCATTTTTCAACTTGACGACTCTGTATATAACAATACAGGGAGAAAAAAACAGCCCTTACTGAGTTTCTTGCCGGTTCTTCTCAGTACAAGGTCTCCCGCCGAAGTTTTGCGAACCGATGGCTTAGCTTTTTGACCTTCACAAGTGCTTGTAACAGCCTAGACTGAATAAATGACATTTCATTTCATTTCAGCTACACGAACTTCAAGATTATTTTCTCTGTTAATTTCTATTAGTATGACAGAATATACGTATTACAATTAGGTAGATAGACAAGTTTTTTATAGACATGTTTTTTATATTTATATAGTACACTAGCGGCCCGCCCTCGCTTCGCTTCGGTGTAGAGCTGAAGTGTAGACTACAGTTTTTGTTCTCAGGCTTGTATTATACACAATGACATTCATCTATGATTCTTCTTATACCTGCATGCAAAGTCTGAGCCCGATCGGTTTAAAATAGACAAAGTTTCATACAAACTTTCATTCCCTATTTTATCCCCTTGGGGGTAGAATTGATCAAAATCCTTTCTTAGCGGATGCCTACGTCATAACATCTACCTGCATGCCAAATTTCAGCCCGATCCGTTCAGTGGTTTGGGCTGTGCGTTGATAGATCACTATGTCCGTCAGTCACCTTTGAGTTTTATATACCTACTAGCTGACCCAGCGAACTTCGTACCGCCCTAAAAAAATAGGGGTTGTCCAGCGGACAAAATTGTGAATCTAAACCATTCTCAGATCCCCTTGAACACACACAAAAAATTTCATCAAAATCGGTCCAGTCGTTTAAGAGAAGTTCAGTGACATACACACTCACAGAAGAATTATATATATAAAGATTATTTCGAAATAGATTATTTTCCGTTCAGTACTAGCACGAACCAATATCGAATTCGTATAGTTTACGAGTACGAAATATCATTGTCAAATGTGTATTGATTTTTAGTTCTCGTTACGTCCGTTGTTGCGAAAATTTTACGATACCCAAGTTACTTTCGTAATTTTCCTCCATTTTGATCTTTTAATAGGATTGTTTAATTGATGAGTAATGCGCAAGGAACCATAATAAACACGATTTTCTATCCATTAGTGGAATACCTATAAAAACTTTTATAATAGATGCAAATCATTACTTATCTCTTTGTTAATGAGCGGAAATGTCAAACATACCGTCTGATCGTCGTCGCTTCGCAATGACAATGATACAAAGTATTTATTTCATTGTAATTGTATATTGTCTCTTTATCTTAATTAGCTTCCTATCTGCAAATCACCGAAGTCATCTTTTTTTTCTTCTAGTTTTTATTAATTTTTCTTTATTCTTAGTCTTGAAAATTATAACGGTATATACGCATTTAAATAGAATTATTAACGTATTATTTCTATCTAACCACTTTTAAACACTAAATTCATATTATTTTGTTAAAATTCAACCGTCAGGTTTGTATGCCAAAACAATCGACTCGCCAGTACTAATTTCAGATCTGTCAATAAAAAGGGTCCATAAATGACAACTTTGCCTTCCGATTTGGCTCGTCTACTATAAATGTCGCCGCACACGGGCCACACGCCACAGCCACAAACGCCGCCACGAGAAGCTAGAAGCGGCTACTAAAGTGGCTGAAGCGTGCGATAGCGCCGAATAAGGTAAGGGAGAGAGGGGTGGGGAATCGCGCGAGTGACGTTTGGCGGCGTTTTGTATCGGCGTATTAAGTGGCCGGTGCGGGCCACAAGAAGAGAGCAACGACGATTTGTAGCATGTGGCGGCCACCGGCGTACCGTGTGTGGCGAGTCCATATAAATGTATGAAAACTACAAGAAATATGCCGGTGGCGGCGTTTTGTGGTTGTGGTCGGTAGCCCGTGTGCGGCGACACTAAGTGTCATGTATCTTAGTATGGAACCCCTTGACAATACGTAGTTACCACTTAACATTTTTTTATGAATGTTGGTTTAAAAAACAGATTTATTGATAAAAAAAAACAGAATGCGTTGTTTACGACAACTTGGAAGCTTATGGTAAAATATCAAGTTTAAACAATGTTCACATTGGAATGCCTTATATGTACGTGAAAAGTAAACTTTTGTTCATCATCATCAGCCTATTAATGTCCCCACTGCTGGGGCACAGGCCTTCCCTATGGATTTAATAGGGAGGTTGGGCCATGACCCACCACGCGGGCCCAGTGCGTATTGGTGGGTGCTAACGACTGCAGATGCAGCCGGGACCAACGGCTTAACGTGCCTTCCTAAGCACGGAGGAGCTCGAGATGGTAAATTTTTGGTCACCCATCCAATGACCGACCACTGCGAAAGGTGCTTAACTTCAATGATCGCAGCCGAACGCACGAACCACTTGCGCCATCGAGCTCCTCATTGAAACTCAGCGTTGAAACAAAAAGGAAAGGGGTAAAAAGGATTAAATGAAAAGTCGCAAGTACTCGTAGCGTTCATAAAATTTTAATAAATACCGTGCTTAAAACTATATACAATTATACACATTTGGTACAACGGTCAAGGCAGTGATGAAAGTTTTCTTTTCAACAGGACAATATTTGAAAATTTCACAAATATCTCTTATTCCACAATCCATTCTGCAAAGAACATTATCAAAAAGCAATTGTTACATAAAATTTTCAATACCAGTCTTTGACTGCATGTAAAATATTAAAAAAAAAAATACGATGTTTTCTCTCCCATTTAAATATTAAGATTAATGAGCATAACAGTGACCTATCTATTTTACAAATGAAAGTGTGTATAACATATCTTAAGGATGATTTATCCAATCAACAAATTAATACATAAAAAAATACATGAAAATTAAAATTAAATAAAAGAGATCAACTAAGAGAAGAGCACAAAAAAACTTCAAACAAAGCTATCAATGAAAACAGTGAGTAAGGAATTACAAAATCTTTGGAACACGATTCAATGAAACCGCTCAATGACGACCGCGTTATGTAATATAATATTCCCATCATGCTGTTTGACATACCAAAATGACGGTTAATAGAACCTAACGGTCGCTATAATACACAGGTGTAGGCCGAACCACCGAAATCATACGTGAGTGAAATTTTCAAATAACAATCTGTTATAAAATGGTATCTCTGCTTAAAATATTTACAATGCTTACAATAGGTACTACTGGGCAAGTTCATTGCGTCTCGACTTCGCCATGTGAGAATGTTGTAAGTGGATGACAAAACCTTTAAAATAATTAAAAACTATTTATTACTGTTTTTCTTCAAAACAGTAGCCGTAACAATGAAAACTATTTCAAATCTTCAGATTAAAGTCTTTAAGTCACACAAAGTAGACAGTAACCAAACTCCACATAAACCACTTACGAGAGAATTCGAAGAATTGCCAATGGGTCTTCATGATTAATACTGGGATTTCTCATGATCCTAAAGTTAGTTTACCACCAGCCGCTGCCGTAGAAACCGCCGTAGCCTCCGTAGCCGCCGTACGGCCAGTATCCATAGCCATAGCCGTAACTAGGCCAGCCCCAGTAGCTACCGTAGTAGGGGTAGTGTCCATAATGTCCACCCCAGCCTCCGTAGTGACCACCCCAGCCTCCGTAATGGCCTCCCCAATGGGATGCCGCTGGTTTTAAGTCATCTGTCGCTGACACCAAGTCTGCTTTCTCAGGGGCTGGTGCGGCTTGGAGTTCCACGGGCTGCTTCTCAGCGGGCGCTGATGACGTCACGGCAATCAGCAGGAAGATGTTGAATAGGATAAGGGCAATCTGGAATTTGAGCAGAGGTTAATGAAATAAATAAATATTTCCAACACTCACAACAATTGGCCTAGCGCTAAAGTAAGCACTGAATGGCTTATGTTATGGGATATAGTGGTTACCCTAACTGATAGAATACATATATTGATAGAGATATAAGTATATTGATAACCTCCGTGGCCGAGTAGTTTATACGCCTGGTTTCATGGTGTCGCCGACTCGAGAGGTCCCGGGTTCGAATCCCGGTGGGGGCAGATGTTTGTGTGATGAATACATGCATTTGTACTCCAGTCATGGATGTTTCATATGTATTTCTATATTAATATACTTATATATGTACAGTATATGTATTCTATCTGTTACCCTAGTATCCCATAACACAAGCTTACTCTACTTTGCTTACTTTGGGGCTAAGCTAATTGGTGTGTGTGTTGGAAATATTTATTTATTATTATTTATATTTTGTACAGAAATACATATAAACATCCAAATGCTAATATTCATGATACTAACATTTGCCCCGCTGGGATGAGGCGACACTTTGAAACCCGGCGTATATATATACTCAGACACGGAGGTCGTCCGAAATCAATTGATTGCTTTAAAAAAACCGATTGTAAATAAAATGATAGATATACTGAAAATATATTTTGCTATTTTTGCAGCGGTGGCTCCCCGAGCTGATAGAATCACACTAATATTATATAGGCTAAAGTTTGTGAGTGTGTTTGTAAGTTTGTTTACCGCGGGTAACACCGCGGGGCGCAGATAGTAACAAATAAAAATCAGTCAGTCACGTCACTTGTCGCGACTAGTGTAGAGAGAAATGATAGTTCCTTCTATGATATATTGTTTCATCATCATCATCATGATCAGCCTATAATGTCCCCACTGCTGGGGCACAGGCCTTCCCTATGGATGGAATAGGGAGATTGGGCCATGACCCACCACGCTGGCCCAGTGCGGATTGGTGGGTGCTAACAACTGCAGATGCAGCCGGGACCAACGACTTAACGTGCCTTCCGAAGCACGGAGGAACTCGAGATAGTAAATTTTTGGTCACCCATCCATTGACCGACCAATGCGAAAGTTGCTTAACTTCAACGATCGCAGCTCCTCAATATATTATTCCCTATCAATGGTTACAGTACTTTGGATCAGTTTAAACATGATCTATTCACAAACATTATTTATATGTGCGTACAACACACACATAGCATATAGCGTTTGATATAAATAAATTGCCTAACAAAATCCCGACTAAGTTTGCATTGATTGAAAGATTAGAATAAAAATAGCATAAATATAGAAGATTTTGTTTTGAGTTTGTATGATAATGGTCGTAGATGATCTTTGAAGCGTCACCGCGTTTATGGACGGCGAGATGCTAAGGGGACCTCTAGCCGAGACTTGGCGAGTGCCTCTAGAGCCTGGGTTCCGAACCTGGGGGTAATTACCCCTCCGGGGGTAAATCAGCTATACTTCGGGGGTAACAAGGAACCTAATTATTTGGTCAAATCTAAATAATAAGAAAATACTATATAATAATACTACTAAATAGAGCATGCGCTCCTTCTTGCTAGTGAGCCCGCGGGGTGCTGATTGTGAGAAGCGGGGCGAGATTTTTTCCTGATGATGACATTATTAGAGACGAAGATGTAGCGGCCAAATTGGAATTTCTTGGACTGTCATCAGTACAGATAACATTTTAAAGTCGGGGTAAAATCTGTTTTCCTAATAGGTTACAGGGGTAACAGTATTGGAAAGGTTAGGAAACACTGTGTATTCCAGGCAGATGGCATCTCCCCACGGAGGGTCTCCTCTCCGTCTAGACCCTCTATGCCACTAGAACCTGATGGGGTCAGCTCGACTAGCGGGCGTCTCTGAGACTCGGACCTCGGCTTTAGTTAGCCTTTGTCGTAGGGGGCGGGGAATTGTCGTGAGGGGCGGGGCAAGCTAGCTAAACGATATTGTAAAATTGTTTCTTTGGTAATCACTCTCAAAGAGGTAGATGGTGAAAATTTCCCAGCTGTAATTAACCATTCAGTTACAAAATTTGTGAATTGTAAATTTTGTCCATCAGTTATCATCTCGTACCCCTCAGCGATTTCTAGTTAGTATTACTTTGAAGAAAATTCAGAAATAGGTGGTTTTGGTACAGAAATTGGTTTAAAAGCTATATTTCATCAATGTATACGTTATTTTCTGAAAATTCCATCGCTACAGTACCCTTAACCAACACTCGTAATGTACCTTGAACACATGCATCAGATCAAAAAAAAATGCTTTGAAGTATACATACATATTATGTTTTCAGACAAAATTTTTAATTCAGTTATTATTGAAATCTGAGTTTTTTTTATGTATGCACTATAAAAACCTGCATCGATCGAAATCACATTTGAAATATACTGGTACATAAACGTATTCAAAGCGTATGAGAATGACAATTTTCCAGGTTTTTCCCACGAAGTAAGTAACACACCATTGTGTTTACAGCAAAATGGAAATTATGTTACCTACAATGGATTCGGTTTCGTATTGATAAGTCGCTAAATATTAGCGACGAAAAAAAGGTTATAAATCAATGGGCATAATAGAAAACTTGATTGAGTCACAATAAATGTTTTTATGCGATATAACAACTTTAGTTCTGTTGAAACACAAAATATAACATTAAGACTTCGTTATTATCGATAATTCCTAACGATTATTTCTTACTGTTGGAACTCTAGACTAAGAGATATGCTCTAAGTACAAAAAAGTCATAACATAAATTTAAATCTATATTTTAATTAATTTTTGCATGCTGGAAATGGCTAATTGTGCGATCTGACCTAATCATTTAAAAACATTATTGTAACCACAATTAATGCAAATAAATTTCATTTCATTTCAATTATAACAATAAAAATATAAACAAGTGTGTCAAGTAAGAGAAGTATTTTTTTTAAATGATGATGTTCGAAAACAGTACAGTTTTAAGCCCGAAAATCATCCATTGATCCCTTTGATCGAAGACTGATCCTATGGAAAGTCAAACACTGTCTCAGTGTATTGAAACAGCAGATCGAATAGTTTTTGTTTTTTCTAAAACACGAAATTCTGAAGCCAATTCCAATCCATTTTTTTAAAGTTGTATAATTTGCGCTCCCGCAATAAAACTTTTCACAGTTACCTCATTCATGATTGACTTTTAGTAGAATAATTGTAACGAGTTTTATATTTTCTTATGTCAATTATTTAAATTACACTTTTCTTCAATTTGCACTATTCTCAAAAGAAACTTCAAAAAATGTTTTTTTATGAATCACAATTAATTTCCATCTAATGCAACTCGTTTCCCATCAAATTTACCGAGAATTATCTACATATGTTAATAAATAAGTAAATATATCTACTTACAGTCGCACGGGCCATATTGGTAGAGCGGGCTTTGGTTTCGACTGTGCTGCGAGGAACACGCGGCTCGGCTTTATACTGCGCCGTGTCCTAGAGATGCACGGATGAGTGGCCCCTGTACAATAGAGTGCCATTGACCTCAGGATTATGGGGTGTAGGGCTGGTGATTAGGCTCCGCAGGGCGAAGGCGCTTTTTGCGAACCTAAAATGCATGTAAACGCAGTTGCAATGTTCAGAACCAAAAGACTGATATCTAGGGCTTGTAGTTCGGCTCTTCAGTGCGAAGATGCTTTGTGAACCTAAAATGTTTGTAAACGCAGTTGATAGGTGGATAGATAGATAAAACTTTATTCACACCAACATGCACAGATACGAAATTGAATACAAATTTTACAATTATATAAATCCTTTAAAAATATAACAAATTATATTTATACAACTATACTGATATTTTCGTGTGTAGCAGCGATGCGAATGGGCGAAAACTCAGCGTAACATTTACTCCGAGAGTAAATCGCTGATTTTCAGTTGCAATGTTAAGAACTAAAAGACTGATATCTAGGGCTTGTAGTTCGGCTCTATAGTGCAAAGATGTTTTGTGAACCTTAAATACATGTAAACGCAGTTACAATGTTGAGAACTAAAAGACTGATATCTAGGGCTTATAGTTCGGCTCTACAGTGCGAAGATGCTTTGTGAACCTAAAATGCATGCAAACGCAGTTGCAATGTTAATAAGCAAAAGATTGATATCTAGGGCTTGTAGTTCGGCTCTACAGTGCGAAGATGCTTTGTGAACCTAATATGCATGCAAACGCAGTTGCAATATAGAGAACTAAAATATTGATATCTAGGGCTTGTAGTTCGGCTCTACAGTGCGAAGATGTTTTGTGAACCTTAAATACATGTAAACGCAGTTACAATGTTGAGAACTAAAAGACTGAATATAATATAAGCCGAAATTTGGCATGCATCCGCTAAGAAAGGATTTTGATCTATTCTACCCCCAAGGGGATAAAATAGGGAATGAAAGTTTGTATGAAACTTTTTCAATTTTAAGCCGATCGGGCTGAGACTTTGCATGCAGGTATAAGAAGAATCATAGATGAATGTCATTGTGTATAATACAAGCCTGAAAACAGAAACTGTAGTCTACACTTCAGCTCTACACCGAAGCGAAGCGAGGGCGGGCCGCTAGTAAAGGCATATAAACGCGGCTGCAACGCTGCAAGTCTGCAGTCAGTCAATCTAGTCAGATTGATATCTCTAGGAATCGCTCTAGTCTTTTTCTGGACATTTTTTCTTATGTTAAAGGGGGTAACAAACAATGCGATGGCCTCCCTGATGGTAAGCGGCCACCAAAGCTTATTGTGGACGACCTCCGTGGCCAAGTGGTTTGTATGCCAGGTTTCATGGTGTCGCCGACTCGAGAGATCCCGGATTCGAATCTGGTGAGGGGCAAATGTTTGTGTGATGAATACGAGCATTTGTACTCCAGTCATGGATGTAAAATATTTATTTCTATATAAATATACTTATATATGTACAGGGAAGGCCTGTGCCCCAGCAGTGGGGACATTAATAGGCTGATGGTGATGGTGATGATGTACAGTATATGTATTGTATCCGTTACTCTAGCATTCTATAACACAAGCCTTACAGTGCTTACTTTGGGGCTAGGCTGATTGGTGTGAGTATTGGAAATATTTATTTTTCATATAAAAAAAAAGCTTATAGACGCTTCATCATCATCATCATCATCATCAGCCTATTAATGTCCCCACTGCTGGGGCACAGACCTTTCCTATGGATGGGTTAGGGAGAAATTATGCCATGACCCACCACGCGGGCCCAGTGCGGGTTAGTGGGTGCTAACGACTGCAGATGCTGCCGGGACCAACGGCTTAACGTGCCTTCCGAAGCACGGAGGAACTCGAGATAGTAAATTTTTGGTCACCCATCCAATGACCGACCACTGCGAAAGTTGCTTAACTTCAACGATCGCAGTCGAACGCGCTAACCACTTGCGCCATCGAGATCCGATCCCCGACCCCATGGAGCCCTGGAACCTTACTCACCATCTGAAACACAGCACGACCAAGAGGTAGTGTTATTTCACTGTGCTCTTCCAAAGGTGGAGATTACTTCCTAAGATGCGCACTACAATTCAGGCGGAAAGTTGAGAAGAGTTGACCTACATCTCTTAATTACATCAATATAGATTTCTGTCGCATAGAGAACTATGGAAAGGGCTATGCTCGGAGAATCCCTGAAGGACTGCATCAGAAATGATGTAATCCGACAGAGAACCAAAGTCACCGACATAGCTCACCGAACTAGCAAACTGAAGTGGCAGTGGGCTGGTCACATTAGCCGCAGAACTGATGGACGTTGGAGCCGGAAAGTTCTCGAGTGGAGACCACGACTCGGTAAACGTAGTGTAGGACGCCCTAAGACAAGATGGGATGATGATATTCGTAGGCTGGCTGGAGTAGGCTGGATGAGAGTAGCACAAAATCGGGAGCAGTGGCGTGCATTAGGGGAGACCTATGTCCAGCAGTGGACGAACAGGGGTTGATGATGATGATAGATTTCTCTTAAAACAAAGCGCAGCATATTAAGCACCCTATCCAAAGTCAAGTGGAACTGCAAAGAAAGTTGATTTAGTAATACGGCAGTAAAACGTGCTGCTCCTCACATACTCACCTTGCAGGCCCGAAACCAATTCCCCCGAAGCCAATTCGACCATTTCTTCCCTATTCAAATTCAAATTTCTTATTGCATAGTCACATGATTAAAAGATGACAATTTAGTAACATATTGGTGTCGATTCTGGCGTGATTCTCTAAACTTAAAACTAAATTTAACATCAGTCTCTCTTTTTCGTTCTATATAGAGAATGACAAGGAAACACTGTAGTCAAATTTAAATTTAGATTTAGAGAATCGTGCCAGAATCGACACCATTAAATAGAACATGTGACACCCTGCAAGGCTGTTTGCAATTTATTTATAAATAAAAGTAAATAATAATATTTAATACAAAAATACAATTACATCAATTAAAAAAGAACAATATTTTTAAATTAATTTTAAGCATTTAACTGCTAGATTTATAATTCTAAAGTAATTATTATTAAGTATTATTAATTAGAAAAAAACAAATATATAATGATTCCAAGTATATGATAACTTTTAGATATTATTAGACTGTACAACTATTATATTAACTTGAGTTTTATACTAGTATTAATTATATTATTATTAATTTGTTACAATATTAATAATATTTATTATATCATAAAAAAATTCGGAAATATTATAGTAACTTTTATATATTAGAAAATTTTTAAGCTGTTTTTCAAATATTTTATTTTCAGTTGTACATTTTAAACTATTTGGTAGAGGGTTGTATATTTTTATTAACATTACACATATTCGAAACTAGACTACACCCAAAGGTAGAAAGACAACATTACCAAAGGATAGTGCTATTTTTCTGAGATCTTCTGTAATATGTAGGAATGATTTACTTGTCCTCCTTCGTCAAAGCTATACTTCTGTGGAACGAACTCCCCCTAGATATTAGAATGTCCACCAGCAAAATTAGCTTCAAACCCAAGCTACGAAGCTTTTTACAGGAACAAGCAGTCTAGCTTCAACGTTAGTCGTCATTATTATGTATTATTTAGTATGTATGTTTATATGTGTATATCTGTGAATTTATATGTGGGTATTTGTTTATGTATGTGTAATTATATATATGACTACTACATATTTATATCTGTTCGTCTTTCTGTAATTTCCATTTAAGTTGTGCACCCTACCACCATTTATCTACAACACCCTATGGTTGACTGGAAGAGAATGCCTACGGCGTTAAGTCCACCTTTGTACACTTGTGCATTAAGTATTGTTAAATAAATAATACTTAGGTTCCTTCCGATGCGAGAGCGGCAGCGCCATCTCTTCGCATTGTAGGTAGCCCACATAACTATAATTGCTATTTCTTCTTTCAAATGTTTAATACTTGAAAAAGTATTCATTTGACATTGTGGGCTACCTACAATGCGAAGAGATGGCGCTGCCTTGCAGCTTAAGGCTAGGAAAATTTCGACGCGGCTAATAGGGCCGTGGTAGCATAATGGTCAGTGCATTCGCCCGGATTGCGAAGGGTGCGGGTTCGAGTCCCGTCCGCTGCCTGGTCCGCGTGGATTTTTTTCTAGTAAACTTTTCTTTAGATTTAAACATCTAGCAGTTAAATGCTTAAAAATAAATAAAAAACATAACTATAATTGCTATTTCTTCTTTCAAATGTTTAATACTTGAAAAAGTATTCATTTGACATTGTGGGGGCTACCTACAATGCGAAGAGATGGCGCTGCCTTGCAGCTTAAGGCTAGGAAAATTTCTTACTTTAGTTATTTTCTTTCTACTAATAGTTACTTCGTTCTTAATTAAGTATAATATTATAAGATTTATGTAGGTATGATTTTTTTTACATGTTAAATAGACCTCTAGTGTATAAAATATAGACATATTTGTTTCGTAGGTTTTTACGCACATCACTCATTAAATAAAACAAGTTTCAACGGGTTAGATGCACTGATTTTATTTATTTACTAGCGGCCCGCCCTCGCTTGGCTTCGGTGTAGTGCTGAAGTGTAGACTACAGTTTTTGTTCTCAGGCTTGTTTTATATGCAATGACATTCATCTATGATTCTTCTTATACCTGCAATGCAAAGTCTCAGCCCGATCGGTTTAAAATTGTCAAAATTTCATACAAACTTTCATTCCCCATTTTATCCCCTTGGGGGTAGAATTGATCAAAATCCTTTCTTAGCGGATGCCTACGTCATAACATCTACCTGCATGCCAAATGTCAGCCCGATCCGTCCAGTGGTTTGGGCTGTGCGTTGATAGATCACTATGACAGTCAGTCACCTTTGAGTTTTATATATATAGATAGATTGACGTTTCGCAGGAATGCGTCGTCATAATAATGATTTTTTATTACAATTACGTCAATAAATAAAATCAGTGTATCTAACCCGTTTGAAACTTTTTGATTTAAAATATAGACAGTTTTAAACATTACTCTATTTATTCAGATATTTCATTATTGCTTTAGATCCCAAAAGACAAGTAATAATCTACTAGCTGTCTTTGAGATCACAAGAAGCATTTTTTTTATAGATAGGTCCGACAAATGACTCCACCCCACCTGATGTTGAAGTCCAGACGTGAATCTTCACATCTGGACTTCTATCTATCTAGCTGATAGAGCAGTTCTACCTGCCACACCAGCCATCCTCACCCTGCCGGCCTGCATGTTGCTTCTTCACGCCTCTTTTAAAGGATCCCAGGTTGAAAGAGGGAGGGAACCCGTGAGCGGGCAGAGCATTCCATTTACGGATAGTGCGACAAAGAAATGAATCACCAAAGTCAGCATGTAGGTGTTATAAACAAAATGGTAGGTTGTTGAGGGCATATAACCATCTGACACGCTACCTAAAGACTACTCTCTGATCAACGATCGTCAATACGGATTTAGGTCGACCCGATCGACGGGTGACTGATAACCGATTAGATCGACCGATACTGGCACATTAAAACTGTCATATATTTTGTTTTTATAATTGGCGATATGTTTGCAACCTGGCAACGAGGTTTCCGCTGATTTTTTCACAACCAGGCAGATTACTTGTATTTAAGATCCAGCAAGGGCTATTCGATCGCAGATAGTAGCAAATTATGTTAAGGTAGGCATCTTCTTTTTCTTCTTCAACCTTAATCTACCCACTCTGGGTACAGGAGCTCTACTCTCTTACTCCGAAACGAAATTTCGGCAACGAAAGAATTTTAAACGAAATTTCGCCAGTGACTCTACTCTATTTCATCTTCGAACACGCACATAAAGTTCGGTATCACAGATAATTATCGTGAACGAATGGAATGAGTTATGTTTGTGAGTTCTTTTTGTCTATACTTTTAAGATAACGTTTTTTACTTCAAAACAATATTACTTTATGAATAAATTATTGATTATATTAAAACAACTTCTTTTGACAGTGTTAGCCGACTAATTTGTAGAGTTGATGCAATCGAATGTATGTCAACCTAAATTTGTCGTGTAACACTTTGAAGTATTGGCAATACAATAATAAACAAAAAATTTATTTATTTGTAAATTTTTCATACAAAAAATGATTCCCACGCTAAGCAGCCCTAATTAAAAATACTCTAGTAGTCATTTTACGTTAAATTTAAACAAAAATCCCTAAACGAAAATGAAAAGGTGACACTTTTCATTTCGTCAATTTGAGGATAAAATTTCGAACAATTATCTGTCAAATTCAACTTTCAGTTTAAAAGTTTTGTGAATTAGAGTAGGCTTGGAGAATTTAAATGTCAAACTATTTTCGGACGAACGAATTTTCGAAATGAAATAGAAACAGAGTAAGGAACGTGCGAAATTTCAATCGAAATTTCGTTTTTCGTTGAAATAGAGTAGGCCTCCAGGTCTCCTCCATGGTGCGCCAATTTGCGATGATGCGTGCGATCTCAATCCAGTTTCTTCCTGCTACTTTGGTGATGTCATCGGACCATCTGGCGCGCAGCCCTCCTACGTTTCTGCGTCCAGGTCTTAGTCGCCACTCCACAATAGCTAAACTCCACCTAATGTCTGTCCTGCGAGCCACGTGACCTGCCCACCTTCACTTATTCTCTTTTTTTTTATACGCAGGCAAAAATACTATTTACAGACGACGGCGCCTTTAAGAGGCACACCGCACGGACCTCACACCTGGCTCCCGCAAGCCTAAAGAGCCCCAGCAGTGGCTGCCCACTGAGGACCCCGTAACTCTTACGGGCCCTTTACGGCATAATATCCGCTAAAAAACCCTGCGAATACCCTCTAAGCTGCTTACCGCGAAGCCGCGGTATCCCAGTTTAGGGATTCTTCCGCGTCCTTCACTTCTTACCTGCGAGTTCGCGAACAATATCGGTGTCATTCAGGTAGGTATACAAGTCTTAGTTAGTCTTAGTAGAACGGCGGGCTGTTTCCGCAACTCGACACCCA